GCTCACTCCGAAGTACATATTTTTAAAAACCTACCATTTTACTTTCCCAAAAACGTTTAACTAAAGCTCCCAAAAAAACAACCCTGTATAGTGTTTCTGAAACACTATAATGGCGTAAAGATTTTTGTTTACGGCGCATTTTAGCGCATGATGAAAGCTACGATGTAGTAGAAAAAACATGTTAAAAAAACGCTAAGTTAGACCCTCCACTTTTTAAAAATTTGTCACGGCTTAACTGTAATGGCGCTAGCTTTAATTCAAGTGGCGCAATTGAGCGCATAACCAGATGTATCGAGTGGCACAAATACCGGTAGCAAAATGCGTTAAGGGGGTTCCGTTCACTTGGCCCCTCCCAAATATATGTAAGGATAACCAAAAAACAAGAATGGCGCAAAGATATCTTTTTACGGCGCATTTCAGCGCATACCTGAGAGTACAATTTCGTATGAAAAGATGTTAAAAAAAAGAACTTTTAAAAACGTTAAGTTGGCCCCCCCGCTTTTTGAAAATTTGACACGGCTTAACCGTAATGGCGCTAGCTTTCATTCAATTTTCATTGAATGCCTCTTAAAATTTGGCTGTGCTTGTAAATGACATACTAGTGCTAATTTTATATCAAAAAGCCGAGTCCCAATTTCGTTGAGCAAACAGTCAAACACACCTCTGGCATCGCAATTGAGCGCATAACCAAATGTATCAGGTGAGCTAGTTACAAGCGACAATATACGTACCGGGGGGGGGGGGGGACGGGCACTTTCCCCCCCCCCCCCCCAATGTTTTTTCGGATTTCTAAAAAACGATAATGGCGCAAGAGTTATTATCGGTGGCGCATATGAGTGCATAACGAGCGCATTCATTTTAAAATAATACGACTATCAAATCTCTCAGTGGGGGGGCCAAGTTAACGGACCCCATTACAAAGTAAATAAAGCTCTGAATTCTTCCAGGATACTTACTTAGGCGATACAATTTTGGCGCTTTTTAACCACGCTAGAATTTTGAAGTTTGAAAATTATTGCTGAAATATGGACAGTAACCATAGCACATCCTCTAGATATACAGACTGAACTCCCATTGGTTACATTAAAATCTGGAGGAAACATGGCGCAGCAAATAGAAAACTTGACCACACTGTGGGTATAAAGCCACTGAAGTTAAGAAGAATTCCTATATAGTAATAGTAAGATTTCCCTCGAGAATTCCTAGAAAATGCCCTTCCTGGAGACTACCCAAGAATTCCCAAAGAATTCCTCGGAATACCCAATAATTCATCTGAATACACAATGAATTCTGAGGAATTCCCTTTCCCGTAAAAAAGAATTCCCAATGTAACAACCCCTCGGTGTGAACTATACAACACAGCTGTTTTTAATGCATCCTTTCAATTTACATTTTCTTTTGTATTAAAATAACACTATGGTTCTTTAGTTTGTGTTTCATAAAAGTTTATTACTCAATTTTCAAAAGAGTGTCTAACAAACAAGACTGCTGTGAATCACTTACAGATTTAGCCAGATGTACAAAACTAGCATTAAATTATTACTAATTAACCCAACAAAAATAAATAAATGAACACATCAATTATAATTATTTAAATTTCTAGCACATCAAGAAGCAGTGTTAGGCAAACCTTTGACTAGAAACAACTATTGTATTTTGATTCCAAGGTACTCTATTGAAAATTGACGATCATAAAGAAAAATTAATTGCACGACATTCACATAAGATCGCATTCTCCAACCTAGAAGAGGGTCCGTAACAGTTCATTTTTCCTTCACGGTCATTGGATTTACTGTTTGAAATTCGCTGGCATTGCGTTATGACGTCACATGTTGGTGAATTTTTCCACGCGAACCTCAAGGCGCATTATTTGCTTCTCAATTTCCTCTTCCGATATTCTAGTACAAGCACGCCTTACTTGGGCATGTTAAGCAGAGTGTAGGGCGAAGGTTCTAATTGTACTTTCCCAGCACAATTATTCTGGCGATTGAACCTATATTTTGGGGAGCCCGGATTTCTGCATTTTTCTTCGAATTTTGGGAGGCTATACTTTGGGTTTTACTAGTTACGTGAGTACGGCCATTTTGTCTAAACCACTACGTGTTACGTTATAGGGGGTGTTACATTTAATTTCAAGCTATAACTACGTAGTGTCACTATTGGTTTGAATTTAAATTCCAGTAACGGAAATGTTTCATTTTTTCTGTTACATGTAGCTTAGTTGCGGCGGGTATCAACACCTGTTTCTTATCAAGACTCCTGGTAGACCAGCTAGCGGCCATTTTGCTTGGAAGTTCATCTCGATCTTTATTAAAGAAATAGGTCATTTAGTCAACTCGAATCAAATGCTCAAATTAAGCTTCCTCTTCAAAGAATATTATAGCTTTATTAGATTTAGATTTAGAACTTAAATATTTCTGTGCTTATTAATCGGCAGAGCAAAGCGATGGAAGCTTTATAGGGGAGTCGATGGTGCCCGTCTGCCTGTCCGTCTGTGAACACGATTACTGTCAAACGCTTGGACCGATTTGGTATAAACTTTGCACAGTTTACCTATATGCTACATGTAATAAGCCTATTGAAAATGAGTCAAATCAAATCAATATGGAACATGTTCTAATCTCTAATCTCTTCTTTCACTAATCTTTTATGGCGTCTCGATGTCTACCGGGATTTCTGGAATATTCGCTAGAATTTAATTATCGTAGGTAATTGCACAAGTGCATCAAAATAAACCTGATAATTTTTTATTCGAGCATGTTGTCAGTAAAAAACTGCATTCGGTCATTTTCATATTTTGTTAAAAGAACCAATAAAGAACGAAGGCGGATGTGGTGCTATCTTTCATGGAAATATGACGTGTTTGTTCTAGAACATTCTGAAGCGTCCTTAACACTCCAGAACATTCTAGAATCTTGTTTGCACATCGAATTATGGTGTCGAGTTCAGTCCCAACTTTCATGCGCTTGTGTTATGTAATAAATTGCAAGTGATAAATAATAATTACTGTTATAAATTAATCCATTTTAAACGTAATTAAATTTACGTTACAATATGTATATCATTTATGCGCCCACAACCTGGGAAATGCAACCACGGAAACTCATTTAATAATAGATTAAACGATTAAATCCATCTTTCAACCTAAAATATTTTCTTAATTAATATCGCCACTTAAGTTGGCTGGACTTTTCTATCTCTTCTTTTGTTAAACTTTGTAATAAATGTTTTATCATTTATAAGCATGCTTATGTGTTATGTGTCATATTAAGCAAATTTCAAGAGCGGGTAAAGTGACTGACTACGGCCCTGATTCCGCAGAACATGCACATATTTAAAATTGATTCGGTATGTTTTGATGGCATATCTTGATAAAACAATTTCAGTAAGTGCGAGAATGTTTTATGTAGGTAATAAACACATTATTTATCCACACAACATTTGAATCAATATGATTATTATCGGACTATAACAAATTGTAGCAGTCATCTGATTATAACAATTAATGGCAATTGTACCAATTATGTGGAGATTGTAGAAATTGTCCGTCAATTGCGGCAATTGTCTAGCGATTGTTACGGATTAGAACCCCTCGGGAAATAGCTAGGAACGGTTGAGAGACTCGCCTGTCTGGGAATCACTGAAGTCATAAAAACCACTCCAACTTTGGCTATGGTCTTTTGGGACTAGAGCCTTTGCACTTACCTGCGAAGGGAGAGGGTCGGAAAGGCTTCCATACGACTAAACGATTGGAACGAGTGGAAGGATCGAGGCAGTGTTGGGCATGGACGGATCTGAGAGGAAACGCTCAGAGGGTTTGCTCTCAGATCCGATCTCTTCCTCGCAAGAAGGGATGTGATCCGGGTTATCTTACTAAGACTTTTTCTGTTGGTTATACTAGTTTCTTGCAAAATAGAATACTTAAAAACTGCAAAATTGATTTTTATTCAAGATGAAGACTAAAAAAGTTAGCCCAAAAGTGCTTTCCCGATAAAATTCGGATTTAAATTTAGCAACTGTTTTCAAGAGGTTATTTAAACGTAAATTTCATAATTACCAATCTACTATCCTGAAAAGAATATTCGTCGGTTCTTATTAATAAGATATCAGTTGCTATTTGCATCGAACGTCAAACTGAAAGTATTTTTATACTTGTTCATGACCTACATCTGTCTTCTAATGTATTCACGGCGAGATTCAATGTAATCAAAGACCAAAAGTAATTGCTTTGGTGACCAAGAATTTTATAAATGTAAATAAACTCGCAATACGGGAACCCGAAAACAGGAAAAATCGTTATGAGAAAAGTTTAACTACCTTTTTGTCTATGCTCTGCCAAGGCTATTAAATACCAGACTCGTCTATAATTGGTGCCCTTTCGTCCTTGATCTTAATAATTAGTGAATGTGTCAAGGACGAGATGTGTAGACATTGTGGACCGAGGTGTAGCTAAAATTTCTCTCATTTATTTAAAATTTTGTTTTACAAAAATTAAACTGTCAGTTACAACTGGCGCTAATTAAAGAAATCAAAGCCACGGCTTTGTCTAGGGTTATAAAACGGCTCGTTACTTTTGATGAGGGCGGCGAGTATTTTTGTAGGAAAGAGGTTTGGGGGCGTACTTTTTGTCTTGTGCTGAGATTGACGGAGAAACATTTCTTTTCCTTAATATACCGAAAAAGTTGTGTGTCAAACAAGATACAAGAAAGTTAGCACAAACTTGCCTTAAACTTCAATAACTCTGAACGTAAAGAAGTATAATAGTAGATAAAATCTCGATTAAACATTCTGAAAAGGAAAATGTATCGATTCGTTGTAGTGGTCTACAGATTTGTCAATAATAATTGGAAACAAGTACCTGGGCGTTTAACGGAACTAAGTTAGAAGTTATGTAATTTGTAGGACATATTTTTAGATACAACGTCTGGTCAGTCTAAAAATGCATGATATTTATATTGGCGGCACCATTTAGTTATTTACCCTGAACAATAGGTACTCACTCAGATTCGTTGTTTTCAAAAATAAGTTCTCCTTCAATCGGTTCGTACTCCTTGTTGCTCTTCGCTGTTCCATCCTCCGTCCAGTAGGGCACGATCACACGGCCTCTCGCCCCCGAACACCTGATTACTTTAAGTTCATATATACCGACACTTTCCACAAGTTCATGGTCACGTACACTAAATTTAAATATACCACCGTGATCATCATCAAGAATTACTACGGTGGCTAAAGTTGGCGACATTAATGAGGCAGAGGGTTGAGCTAAACTCAGTCTCACGTAAAAATGTTCATCTGGCTCAAACACATCGTCGTCAATTACCTCCAAAACGATTCGTTTCTCTTTCTCCCCTGGCCCGAAATGCAAAGTGCCTTTGGCAGAAACATAGTCGCTGCCACAAGTAGCAGTGCCATCCTCGGTACAGTACTGTACAGAGACGTTTGAATCTAGATCACCTGTTCGAGCGACGCGTACTTCGAACCGTCCGCAACTTTCCAAAACAGTGTACTTAGATGGTTCGAAAAAGACGCGACTCCCCGTAGGATTGAATTCGGCACTTCCAGATTCTCGTCGTATTTCAGCCTTTACTTCGCTAAGATCACTTTGAGCCCGTTCGGATATACGTCTCAGTAAATCACCACTTCCCATAAGCTTACGTGTTGCCTGAATCCGATAGAACGCACGTGATTTAGGTCCCCGATTTAGTAGCAATTCGTGAGCCATCCTTTCGAGAGAATCCAAATCGCAATTTGGATGCTGTCGCCTTAACTCTTTCAAAGTAGACACGTACTCTTGTTTTGCATCTTCGTGGATGTCGTCGGCTTCTAAATCGGTTTGGCCCATCTCTAACGAGTCCGCACCCTCGGCTTGAACAATTACTCCACGAACATTCATTCTATAACTCTTTCTGATATATTTGTACATCCTTCGGTCGGCGGCGTAGGCCGTTAGGACAGTTGTAGGGAAAAAGAGAAACGTTAAAACTGCTTCCCATACCTCAACGACACTCGGGGAGGAAACCGCGAGAATGATGTACAACCACACGTAAGCGAAAACGGACCAAGCCGCCGTTACAAAAAACACGCGAAGATGTTTTATTCTGCGAATCTCTCCATTGGGAATGACAGATACACAAATTGCGATAATTACGAATAAGTTATAAGCGGCAGAGCCTACGATAGTTCCAGGCCCCAATTCGCCTGCCTTAAATTCTTTAGCCCAGATTTCGATGACTGATAGTAAAATTTCTGGGGCACTCGATCCAAGTGCCATCAAAGTGAGATTCGCAACAGTTTCGTTCCATACGCGCACTACAACTATGTTTCGCTCACCATTTGGTTTTCTCACGGAAACTTCTCGTTCTTGGGACGTTATTACTTCAATAGCGGCCATGAAGCGATCGGATATTATCGAAACCCCGATAAAAAGGTACATTAAAACCAAGGAGTAGATAAAACCACGTCCAATCCGGTCTATCATTGTGATATTTACAAGGGGTCTCCAGCATGGTAGCACTAAACCATCGACGCAAGCGATGGTGTAGTTACGCCCCTCGCCCATGACGATTTTCGGACGCGTAAGACGCTTCGAAGTTTGGGTTCTACATAACAATAAACCGACGTGAATGTCGGGGTAAAACTAACGGCGACGCCGAAAACCAAACTCCTCCAGCTGACGTCGCGCACGCTCCAAGGTTTTATATAGTATTGAGCTCTCGTTTACAGGAAAATTGCATTCATTGTTTACTACCTTTAGTAGAAGACGACGACGGCGAGGGCGACGCCGATCCTAATTACAATACAGGAAAATTGCACGCGCTAGAGGCGTGAAGGTGTTACGGAAAATAATAGAAATAATGTCCGTGATTCCAGTGCAAATAAAATTCCTGCATTGCAATTAAACATTTTCGTACTAACAACGCCGACAAACAACTACAACTACTCACTGATGACGCATAATCTACTGCTGACCTAAAAATATAGAAACGAGTGTTTCCAAATACCACGTGGAGGGGAATTTCGTAGATTGCCGGAAGTCTAAGTAGGAGCGGATAAATATGAACACACATACACGCTAAATGATTATATAATGACTAATGAATTATGTAGCTCCTTTACTTACTTACTTACCACCTTCATGCTTGCATAGTTAATTTATGATCTAATCCGTCAGTTATCTTTCTGCTTTAACTTTGTATACTTGCCGCCAACAGATGATGGAAGCGTCCCTAAAGATTGGATCAGGTTCGGGCGAAGCATGGGGTGGATTGTTCCTCGATCATAATACTTAATTTTAGTACTAACTACAAAGCACAGAACAAAGGCATCATCCTTAAGATGGCTGTTTTAAATTGTTTACCAAAACCAAAGCTCAAGCTTGCAATGTCCCTGAGAAGACGTAATCGATGGCGCTACTTTGTTTATAAGGTACGCTAATGTCCAGTTTCACAAAGGGTAATTAAGGTTAATCAATCTTCACTCATATATTACAATAGCTTACCTACCATATAATCAAAAGTGCTATTTTAAAATCATCGTTTATGAAACCGGATGAAGATAATATAAAAGTTGATCTTTAGTCTAAAATTTTTATAGAATTCCACTTTGAACCGACATTAATACTTTTAATATAAGCAATTGACATTCAGTTTACTTTTGAGATTGACTATACGAGGCGTAAATATAAATCTATCGAAGTGGAAACAGCTTCCAAGGATAACGCATTCGATACAATAGAACATGAAATCTTATCCCTCATTCAAAGATCTGATGGACTTGAACATAAAATGTTTCATACCAGACAAGTAAATCCAGACTGATCCCTTATATACTTGGTTCACTTTCAGACAACATGTAATGGAACCGAATTTGCCCGCTAAAATTCGATTACAATATTCCGGAATCCGCCCCTGACGCGACGAAAGAATTCAAGAACGATTTGTTTCGTTTCCGTGGAATACGTGTTTTTTTCTTCTCTGCCCTGCATTCAAATGGGCCATAATATACAATAAAAGTGCCGAGGAAAGTTAATGATCCACATCGATATTAACAATTTTCGTCTCGGATTTGCTTAAAAAGGAGAAATAGAGGCAGAGGTATTCGTGCTTATGTTGAGGGTAGAAGTAATTTTTCCGTTTCGAATAGTGAGTGCAGTTTCGACAATTACGAAGGTGATGAACTCGTTTTTATTATCTCTACGTCTATTGCATCCATCTAGTAACTGTATTGTGATATTATTATTATTATGGTCGGTGTTTCTTGTGAGAACTCTAGTCTAGCCTGGTTAACTAATCGCACGGATTAAAATCAAGTAACGATTAGTGTTTGTGTCTGTGTCTGGTGAAGTTATGTAGGGTTCTAAAAAAAAATAAAAAATAAAATAAATATTCACACACTCACATTGGAAATCTAGGGATAGTATGTAATTCATACTTACCAACATAGCTATTAATGGCCACAATAGTCAACGCTATCAGGAAAGAAGAAAACAAAACAAAAATATCATTATAATAATTCCTGTAATTTTATTAAATAGAGTTTATTGTGTAAGTGTTTCTTTGGCTTTGCGTTTGGGTTGTATACGAGTGGGTTGTGATAACGTGGTGTGTTTATGTGAAGAAGGAGTTTTGTGTTTTTTAACTGTGCTAGGACGTGTAACTTTATTCAGTGGACCTGTCTTTGTAGTGCAAGTTGCGTTACTTGTATTTATTGCGTTTGTTTGTTCAGGAAGTTGTGTTTGTGTGGTTGGTTGAGTTAAGGGTGGAGATATACAGAATGTTGTGTGTCATGTTGTGAGTCTAAAGTGCTGTTTAGGCTTTTGCGTTTGGGTTGAATACTAATGGGTCGTGATAATGTGGTTTGCTTCAGAGGTGAATCTCTGAATGTAGTATATGTTGTATATCATTTGTTGTACTTGTTTGTTCGGTAAGTTGTATTTGTGTGTTTGTTTGGGTTAGAGGTGGAGATATTACAGTATGTTGTGTACCGTGTTGTGAGGGAGTGCTGTTGTTTACATGTATACGTTGTGGATCATTTGTGTATGTAGTATCTTGTGTTATGTTTAGAAATTTACGATCAATATGGCATGTGTTGATAATGACTGCTTTTTGTAAATGTTTGTATGTGTTTTTGTCCAAACCTAATAGTTGTAAATTGTGGTGTATTGTCTTTGGTATAACTCCGGTAGCACTATGAATAATGGGAACTATAACAGTAGATTTCATTCTCCATTGCGTCTTAAGCTCGATATTATTATTATGGTCGGTGTTTCTTGTGAGAACTCAGGTCTAGCCTGGTTAACTAATCGCACGGATTAAAATCAAGTAACGATTAGTGTCTGTGTCTGTGTCTGGTGAAGTTATTTAGGGTCCTTAAAAAAAAATAAAATAAAAAAATAAAAAAATAAATAAAAATCACACACGTACATTGGACATCTAGGGATAATGTAATTCGTACTTACCAACATACCTATTGATGGGCACAATAGCCAACGCTATCAGGAAAGAGGAAAACAAAACAAAAAAATCATTATAATAATTCCTGTAATTTTATTAAATGGAGTTTATTGTGTAAGTGTCTGCAATGCGTTGTTCTGTCAAGTGTGCTAAATGTGGGTATTGTGTAATGAACGCGTGATATAGTTTACCTCTGTATGCTGTCCTGTCCGTTTCCATCTTAGTGATCTCCAGATACGTACCGAAAATGAAGCGATTCATCCCTTCGTCCCATTTCATACGTCTTTTGGAGGTATCCTTTGCGCTGGTCCCATCCACAAGCGGTTGAGAAGCAGGCACAAAGGTCTCTTCATGGCGGTCCTCTTCAGGTGGTCGTTGTCCTTATTATTATTATTATTATTATTATTATTACTATTTATTTGAACTGGGTGATTATGATTATTAATATTTGGCAGGGTAACTTGTTTCGAATATGCGTTGATACCGATATTTAATCTCGAATTGACGCAGCAGTGGCTGGCTTAAGTTTAGGACGGACATAAGCAAAAATATATGTTTTATGTACTGTTTTTTGTGTCTTAGAAAAGAGCCATCTTTCCCATATATATTTTGTTTATGAGTACGTATGCGTGCGAGGTTGTCAATGGTTTCAATGTTGAACAAAAGGACTTTTCGTTCAACATTGGCACGCTCCTATTCCGGAAGTCGCTCGTATCTTAAGAAAAACATAGATTGAAGATCGACTGAAGGGGTGCTGTGACCGGCAATCTTTCCTGGAGATATAGTCAAACTTTTCGAGTTCACCCTGTATCTCAGAAACAAACGTACCTAGCTAGATTGATTTGGGTATTGTAAGTTTCAAAAAACGTGACACAAGGTCGCGGAAATCGCAAGTCTGAACTACACTGCAGTCTCAACCAAAATAGGACACACTGTACATGAAATATGTCTAGAATCTTTGATAAATCTTAAAATGGAATACTAAGGGTGTTTTGTATTTAAAAAAAGAATGCTGGCATTGGCCACTGCTACATAACACGCTCTGTTTAAAAAGTATAGTTGAGAAAAAATACTATTTGACGTATCCGAACGTTTCTTTTATCGAATTTATTCTATTTGTCTTATACACACTGTTTGTTCAATAACTGTCAAAGAAATTTCGCATTAAAACAGGCCTTGAAAGGACGGAGTAGTAATTATAAATAAAAATCGATCCTTTGTTATTACGGGTAAATAGATTAGATTAGGAACGTGCGTGTGGAAATCCGCATATCATAATTAAGAGCTACTTAAAAGTTGTAACCAAACTTCTCAAAATCTACGACAACATCTCGAATTCTAGAAGTATATCGATCTATATTCTTCGGAACATATTTCATCTGTACCATTCCTTCTTCTTCACTCGTGAAATTATGTACATCGGGAATTTCATCTTCTCCACTCACCATGAAATAAAGGCTTTGAATAGCCATAAATAAACCATAAACGGAAAAAATTTTCAAATGCTCCTGTAAAATGTTAAAGGGGAAAAGCACTTCAGGATCACTTCCTAGTTCGATTAAAAACGAAGAAAGGCTGTCGTAATATTCCTTAATTAGACTGTCGTAATGCTGATCGCGTAACTGCTTATCCGTAGACGTAAAAAGAAAACACGATAGATCTAAAACTGGAGAACCAACTCGAGCCATTTGCCAATCAATCAAGCACATATCCGTTGGGGATTTCTGCAATTTCTGAAATAATAAGCAGTAGTATTTATCTTTAAATAGCTGGTTATACCGAATACTTGAAGAGAAAATTGTTTATCCAACAGTCACCATGAGAGATAACAGCATAAGGACCTGCAGCTTCTACTGTCACCAGTTTTTTCACAAGTTCAAGCATGTGATCTTGAAATTTTGAAAAGTTATCATAGGCACGTTTGCTGTCTATCTGACTAATAGAGTCTCTAATTTGGTTACATTGATATTGTATTAGTTGCCTACTGCTCTCGCTATTGACTAAGAGGTCGTAGAAGACTTCTGGCACATTTTGTTGAAATTCATGGAACAAATCGGGCTTTTGATCACGAATCGCAAAAGAAAAAGCATGAAAACGTCCATATTCGCGTATCGCCAACAAAGCGTGATGGTAGTCCAAAGGCTCTTGTCGATTGTAAAGTTTGTAACCCACTGCTTTCATGTCCTCCAAAATTATAGTCTCAAATGGCTCTTCTAATAGAGAAGTGTAGTATTTTGCATATGACCGAAATGGTGTCGTTACTCCTTTTTCCTCCTGGAACTTCTGGTACTCGGCTAAAATTTTTTCGTAGACGTACACCTCCCGCTGGTACACTTTGGCGACCGGAACAGTAGTTCGGAACTGACTTGCCTCCGGAGCGCACTTAATAATCCAATTCCAAGTTGCACCTTCAGTTTTCACATGAATCTTACCGATAACACCCAAGTAATTATCCCCTTTCGCATTGCCCCGCGTAATATTTAAGGTATAATTTTCGATGCCGAGGTTAGTAATTAACGAATTAAGGAGTGACTGCGCTTTGCTATTCAAAACTACTTTGTCGCAGTCGTCCATTTTGACTACCGATGTTAGTTCCCGTAGGAGTTCTTACTTATATCGCAGCTTTGTCCCCACCAACGTTTCAATTATTGCTAATCTCCATTGAAGATGTAACAAGCGTATGGTAATCACCTACCTACTCAAATTAAACCATTTTGGCATGTCGACTTTTTCCAGAATTGAGTGCTTTATGGGCTTTGCGCATTTTTAATTGCCACTTGAACCTTTTCCTTCAATAGATTGGTCAAGGCCCCTGTTATTATTACAGCTTGTTTAAATAAATAGCGGATTTAAACCATTAGTTACAACGAGGAGGGTAAGTACCTATACAATTATGTAATAATGCGATTATATCATTGTTAAACAGCTATTATACGAGGCGTGTTTGTTAAGTATGTGCCATTTTGGGGTACCGATCACAAAAACATGTAAACTGTTTGTAACAATTTTATTTTTACATGAAAACCCACATAATTGCCGTCAATACTAAGGCATTTATCGTATTGAGAACAAGCTTTTGTATACTGTCATTGTTCAAAATAGATTTTCCGGAAGTTCTAGGCCTCTACTTTGCTTAATAACGAGATTAATTGGGATGATAGGATTTTCTTATTCAGAATATGATTACAGACTTATTTTTTTACTCACTTGATAATAATTATTATAAAATACAAAGTCATGAACCATTTACAACATTCTTCCACCTTGGGAAAGAAGCCTAATCGAACTTGGGCTCGAAAACAACGATATTATTACAACTGTCTACTGGAACCAGTGATCATTAATGGCCAGTTAAACCACGAGGCCGAAATCAAGAGCAGAATCGAACAAGCCAGGCAGACATTCACCAAATGAAAACACTCCTTACCGACAGAAACTTGAATACCATGCCAGACAGAAAAATATCAAAAGGAAGTCGCAAACGCCGTTCGGCAGCATTAAAGAAGAATAAATTCAAGACACAACATTCTTCGCTCTACATAGGGCTGCAGTTATAACTGATGAATTATAAACTGAAAGATAGGGGTAGTTTGCAATTAATATTCTAGAAATCTTCTTTCCGGGAAATATGACGTGTTTGCTCGAAAACATTCCAGAAGCGTTCGAGAACTTTCGAGAAAGATTGGCGTTTGCTATATGAGCAAATAGAATTGTGCTTCAATCAGTTCTAACATCGATGCGAAGTTCCCGCTCGTGTTATAAGTTGTAAGTGATGTGATAAATAATAATTATTATACAGAGTGTCTTAGATAAGATTCATACCATAGAAAACGAAATCGATTGACTACCAAAACGTGTATGGTATTGACTTAAGAACGCGGAAAAAGTCATCTGTGATCTACTTGTGGAGGGCGACATAGCTAGTCAATGAATAATTGAACCATCTAGCAGCCCTTGGACTGCGTAGACAACTGAACAAAGAAACAAAGAAAGATAGTTATCCCTTGGCCCGAATAGATGACACGCTAGATACGTTTACAGGTGCTAAATGGTTTTCCGCCCTACATATGAAAAGCGGCTACTGGGAAGTTGGTCTGGATCCTGAACATTGTGAGTACACTTCCTTTAGCATAGGGTTGGGTTTATGGTAATTTAGGGTCATGCCCTTTGGTTTGTGTAACGCATCCCCATTTCGGCCTGCATTCCTCTAAGAGCAGCTTCCACCAGGTTCCCGCGTCACCCTTTAATGTTCGTTCATGAACTGTCCATATTTCTGGTGGAAATATTGGATCCCTTCGATTCCCTCTTCTATTTGGTCGACCTATGTAATTGTCTTTGAACAAATGCAAAATTGGTTGTAGCTCTGGGGGTGTCACTTCGCGTAAGTCTTCGAAAGCTTCTTCAAGGTTTTCTACAGGTCCAAATGATAGAGCTACGAATAGAAACCAATTTCGAAAGAAAATTCAAAGGGCTGTAACTTTTGAACAAGTAGCCCAATCTTGGAACTGTTTAAAATTATGGATTCTAAAGGCCGGCCACATTCTATAAGAAAATTTCTTTTCCGGATCGATCTGATAGAATTTTTTTTGGGGCCTCAAAAAAGGCAGTGCATAAGCTTCCTTTTTTACCAAAAATCGACTGCACCAAAATTTCTCGGGAAAACACTTTTGCTTATTAATTTTGGTGCGTAGAATCCAAAACAATTCGTACTTTTTCGATTAGACTTCTCAATCAAAAGTTATAGACTGGAAACCAATTTCGAAAGAAAATTCAAAAGGCTGTAACTTTTGAACTAGTAGCCCAATCTTGGAACTGTTGAAATTATGGATTCTACAGGCCACATTCTATAAGAAAATGTTTTTTCCTGGTCGCACTGAAACAATTTTTTTTTCGGGGCAAAAAAAGGCAGTGTAAACCTTCCTTTTTTTACCAAAAATCGACTGCACCAAAATTTCTCGGGAAAACACTTTTGCTTATTAATTTTAGTGCGTAGAATCCAAAACAATTCGTACTTTTTCGATTAGACTTCTCAATCAAAAGTTATAGACTAGAAACCAATTTCGAAAGAAAATTCAAAAGGCTGTAACTTTTGAACTAGTAGCCCAATCTTGGAACTGTTTGAAATTATGGATTCTACAGGCCACATTCTATAAGAAAATTTTTTTTCCGGGTCGATCTGAGACAATTTTTTTTCGGGGCTCAAAAAAAGGCAGTGTATAACCTTCCTTTTTTTACCAAAAATCGACTGCACCAAAATTTCTCGGGAAAACACTTTTTCTTATTAATTTTGGGGCGTAGAATCCAAAACAATTCGAACTTTCTCAATCAGACTTCTCAATCAAAGTAGACTAGAAACTAGTGATATTAAATTAACGTTTTTTTTTAAGTGCGTAATATTACGTGTAAAATTACCAATTGTTTATGTTTTTTATGTATTTTATGTAATTTATGTAACTTAAATTTTTTTAAAAATACCGTAATTTTACAGTAAAATTACCAGTAATTTATGTTTTTTGCGTAATTTACAATTATTTGCATCTAACTTTTTCTTCATATTTCTTACTAACTGAAAAAGGTATAAAAAAAACTCGTTTGCGGGAGCACTCGAAGCTTGTAGATTCCGATTCAGAATAAAAACTCTTGATTGCGTTCCACATTTTTTCAAAGGTCCCCTGCTGTTTATTGGGTAATAAACAATAAACGACTGGAAACACAAATCCTCTTCTTTCGGCCATAACCACGCGATCCATAATGTTCAATCTACATACAGTTTTTTCATATCTCGGGACCAGTTCCCATAGGAGGCACATCCAAACATCAATATCCGCGCCGTACAAGGTGCATAATTGAAAGTAGATTTAATTAAGTGCAATTTAATTTGAGATTCGCCACCCGTTTGTAAAATTGTGAATATCCAAGCATTTGCACTCCTATTCTAAAACTTAATCGTTTCTTCGACCCCATGGCATAGCTAAATTTGACGCACGAACTGAAAAAATATAAATAAATGTATTTCCATTCATTTAAAATCTATGCAAATTGATATGTAAATATAGGTGCAACGAGTGATACATACATAAAGTTTCCATAACAACGACCAGGGCCAAAACGGGACGGAACCGAGACGGCGGGACCAAAACAGCGAGACTGAAATGTCCTGCTCCGGAAAAACATTATTATGTCATAAACCTAAACACGAAATAAACTTGACGTTTAACCATGGTCCAAAGGTTAACAAAACCCTTGCAATATAATGGATACAATCTTCGTCGCTTAAACTTGACTTATCTGCAGGTGAAGGTCACTGTCTCGAAAACAGAGAGAATACCCACAAAAAGAATGTGAAAGGCCTCGACGAGACGTAGGGTCAAACTTTGTAAAACTTTCCGAGGTGTACTGAAAAAATTGTAGTTTCCCTATACGTAGTAGCATTGACTAATACCCCAGTCAATGGTAGTAGGTATGTGCAGAATGTATAAGTATATGCGATCAAAAGAGTTGCTGTCGAGTCACCTTTGGAATTTTTGTTTACATGGGAAATCATATTTAACTTGAATTTCCAAAGGCGACTCGACGTCAATTCTTTTTTGATCGCCCGTTACTTGCCATTTACGTTTCATTTTATTCCTACTCCAGTGGTCCAGATATACTTACCTTATACTCGTACATGAATGTTGACATCGCATCGCGTTGGATATGGATACCTTGTCAATAATTCCCATATTTTGACCGCACATGTAATCCTGGAATTAGCGGCGGTCATGTATTTCCTCGCCAGTAGCTCAAGGTCCTTCGGAAGCCACCTCAGTGGTCTGTTTGAAATTATGGATTCTACAGGCCACATACTATAAGAAAATTTTCTTTCCGGGTCGATCTGAGACAATTTTTTCTTCGGGGCACAAAAAAAGGCAGTGTATAACCTTCCTTTTTTTACCAAAAATCGACTACACCAAAATTTCTCGGGAAAACACTTTTTCTTATTAATTTGGGTGCGTAGAATTCAAATCAATTCGTACTTTTTCGATCAGACTTCTCAATCAAAAGACTAGAAACCAATTTCGAAAGAAACTTCAAAGGGCTGTAACTTTTGAACTAGTAGCCCAATCTTGGAACTGTTTGAAATTATGGATTCTACAGGCCACATTCTATAAGAAAATTTTTTTTCCGGGTCGATCTGAGACAATTTTTTTTTCGGGGCTCAAAAAAAGGCAGTGTATAACCTTCCTTTTTTACCAAAAATCGACTACACCAAAATTTCTCGGGAAAACACTTTTTCTTATTAATTTGGGTGCGTAGAATCCAAATCAATTCGTACTTTTTCGATCAGACTTCTCAATCAAAAGTTATAGACTAGAAACCAATTTCGAAAAAAAATTCAAAGGGCTGTAACTTTTGAACTAGTAGCCCAATCTTGGAACTGTTTGAAATTATGGATTCTACAGGCCACATTCTATAAGAAAATTTTTTTTTTCCGGGTCGATCTGAGACAATTTTTTTTTCGGGGCTCAAAAAAAGGCAGTGTATAACCTTCCTTTTTTACCAAAAATCGACTACACCAAAATTTCTCGGGAAAACACTTCTTCTTATTAATTTTGGTGCGTAGAATCCAAAACAATTCGTACTTTTTCGATCAGACTTCTCAATCAAAAGTTATAGACTAGAAACCAATTTCGAAAAAAAATTCAAAGAGCTGTAACTTTTGAACTAGTAGCCCAATCTTGGAACTGTTTGAAATTATGGATTCTACAGGCCACATTCTATAAGAAAATTTTTTTCCGGGTCGATCTGAGACAATTTTTTTTTCGGGCTCAAAAAAAGGCAGTGTATAACCTTCCTTTTTTACCAAAAATCGACTGCACCCAAATTTCTCGGGAAAACACTTTTTCTTATTAATTTTGGTGCGTAGAATCCAAAACAATTCGTACTTTTTCGATCAGACTTCTCAATCAAAAGTTATAGACTAGAAACCAATTTCGAAAGAAAATTCAAAGGGCTGTAACTTTTGAACTAGTAGCCCAATCTTGGAACTGTTTGAAATTATGGATTCTACAGGCCACATTCTATAAGAAAATTTTTTTCCGGGTCGATCTGAGACAATTTTTTTTTCGGGGCTCAAAAAAAGGCAGTGTATAACCTTCCTTTTTTACCAAAAATCGACTGCACCAAAATTTCTCGGGAAAACACTTTTTCTTATTAATTTTGGTGCGTAGAATCCAAAACAATTCGTACTTTTTCGATCAGACTTCTCAATCAAAAGTTATAGACTAGAAACCAATTTCGAAAGAAAATTCAAAGGGCTGTAACTTTTGAACTAGTAGCCCAATCTTGGAACTGTTTGAAATTATGGATTCTACAGGCCACATTCTATAAGAAATTTTTTTTTCCGGGTCGATCTGAGACAATTTTTTTTTCGGGCCTCAAAAAAAGGCAGTGTACCTATAACCTTCCTTTTTTACCAAAAATCGACTGCACCAAAATTTCTTGGGAAAACACTTTTTCTTATTAATTTTTGTGCGTAGAATCCAAAACAATTCGTGCTTTTTCGATTAGATCTCTCAATATAAAGTTATGTACAAAAAACAAATTTCGAAAAAGAATTCAAACGGCTGTAACTTCTAGTAGCCCAATCTTCAAATTGTTTGAAATTATAGATTCTACGGGCCAAATTCTATAAGAAAATGTTTTTTCCCGGTCGATGTCAGACATTTTCTTCCGGCCTCAAAAAAAGGCAGTACTTTTAAGTTATTCAAATATTTGAGAACAATTTATAAATGTTTAGGGAATGTTTCCATTGTCACAAAATCAAATATAAAAATCCGATACAACTGAATGCTTAACGATCCTGGAGTGAAACTTTTTGACTTGATAGTCTACGTAACTTAAATACAATAGGGACCTTTCTTATATCCTTAAGACCATGTCTACCAATTTTCAAAGCGATCGCACGTTTCTAAACAAACTATCATGCACACGGACAAACACGGATGGTCAAAAATGGATCTGTTCCAAAATCGCTATGATTAATTTCAGAAAGGCGTACGTATTATGTGCACGACGTACGATCGCTTTGAAAAGTGGTACACGTATTCTTAAGGATATAACTGGTATAAGAAAGGTCCTGGTAGGTACCTCCTATGGGATAATATAATAATAATATTACGCTTTTACTCCCTTTAAATTTGTATATAACAATAGAAATATAAAAAAGCTAACCCCAATCAAAGTATAACTTGATTTTTTAAGTAGTATTAAGACTTTTATTCTATTTTAGATTATAATCTTTTTTATAAGCACCCAATTGAGGGTTTTAATTGGACTTTATGGCACAGAAATGTCAAAAATTGCCTACCAACGATTACTTTAATCATCAAACATTTATTATTCAGAACAATCATACAATCACGTTATTTATAGAATTTAAAAGTGCAATTGCTTGGATTAGAAATTGTAACATCATGAACCAACACCTTATCTTGAATTTCCTTTTTTTGAAGTACTCAAGTCACAGTCTCAGTATCCATAACAACACAAAAAACGCCAACTATAATCTACACCACTAATATTTGGTTAGGGACAAATTCCTACAAGAACTACTAATCCCTTTTAACTTTTTATAAATTGTGCTAAAATAAAATAAAACGTTGTATGTACCACGGGCATAATCGATTATGGCCCTCGAGAAATTAAAAGCCCTCCTTCGCCGGGCTTTAAACATTCTCTCGTGCCATAATCTTTTGATTATGCCCTTAATACATAAATAACTATTATCTAGTATACTATTTTAAATTTTTAATGCATTTGAGTGACAAGTATTTGAATACTTTGTACTTGTATTCGAATACTTTTCAAAGTAAGCTAATGAAATACGTTTCAAAGTATTCGAATACTTTTTGAAAGTATTCTGCCCAGCTCTGCCTGTGACGGTAAAATAAACGGAAGTTATTGAAAGCTTTAGGTGGTTGATTTTTCCTAGCAAATGAATGGTTTCCTCTTAAATGTCGACATAATAGTCACTAATGAAAGCTCCTCAACTGTTTTTACGGACGTTAAAGCTAAATCACCAACGGGCTGGTCACATCTCCGAAACGAATATTCCGGAGCCGAATTTTCGGAGGCGGCTCACTTATAATAGAACCCTCACCCCCTTTCAAAATTTGAAAGATATCCGCCAGAAGGATGATACTTACTTCATAATATCAACGGGTACGACCATTTTTAAATTCGAAACCATCGGATTTAAGATTTTCGTTGGGCCACCCTGTATAGAACCAAATCTGAGTACAATTTCGTGTATCCGTAAATACAATTTGCATAAATTATATCCACGCAAGCGTATTTCTAAGAAACGTCTATAGACCGAGTCATTCATATGACTATCTCACCGACCTTAATCATATTACCGCAAATTTTATGGATGGGCAAAGAAATTTTCACCAACGATGTACTTTTTCTATATGCGGTTTCCTTGTCCACTCACTATTTATATACTTGACCGCTTGCATTGGCAGTTCTACTTTCTTCAAGTTACCACGAGGTTTGAACGTAGCAAAACCACCTCGTGTTCTTTTGGCAGTAGTTTTAGACAACGCTCTGGTTATCTCAGAAGTGGCCTTGCGACGGTCGTAGCCACAGGTAGGTAATCCAGTTTGGTGTCCATCACACAATACAGACCTCATTTCCATTATTACCACAAGATCTCTCTGCCCGAGCACATGTGATAACGGGAGTTGTGTGGAAGTTAAAGAAATGTTGTTTACGAGTGTTGTAATTTTTGCTTTTTCATTCTCCACGTCGGGGGCCAAGGTAAGGCTTAAGTTCCTACTCTTTTGCATTAAAATGATGAGTTTTTTAGGATAGTTATAAGGCTGCGGTACTTGAACATTATCCTATAAAAGACACAAATTCTTATGAAGATTTAGTTAACACTGCAAAATTGTACCTGAATTACATTGAAGACGCTGCCAGAGAGGTTTGAATTTAGGTCTCATTGGACACTTCAGACGATAAATTTTAGCAAGCTGATATTATTGTTTTCCCGGAAGATGGCCTCACAGCGTCAGTTAACAGTGAGGACAGCCTTTGGGCTAGCAGTACCAAAGTTCCAAATCCAGAGCAAAAAATTTCACCTTGTGACGACAGGACTGGAATATATTCTGAGGTATGTAATGAAGTCACCTACTCAATAAATGCGGTCAAAACTTTTTTTTAGTTCTTGGTTGAGTTTTCCTGTGCTTCGAAAATGCATCGCATCTACTCGGTGATGAATCTAGTTGAGGCCGTTGAGAATCGTACAGGCGGTAGGCCAATTTTATATAATTCGAATGTTGTCTTCGACCGTAACGGTACTGTGATTGCGAGGTAAGAACCAATAATTGCTAGTCAATCTTGCAAATTTAATCAACAACCTGGAATAGTCCTAATATGAACGGTAAATAATAAATTATGTCCTTGGATAACACCGGAATCTTATTAAGTTAATATCTCATCAACCGTGAATGGCCAGTAATTAAGTAGAAGGTTAGAATTAATATTATATTAACAATGCTTCTACAAGAAGTACGTATTGAATAAACAAAAATAAATATATTTGCATAACTTAAGTTGTGTAAGGTGTAACAATTTTTCTTTTTTCATAAAACCTCAAATGCCAGCATACCAATTGCTCAACTTTTGTAGGCCTTGATACTTGAACTTTACGCAGACTATTATTATACAGGGTGACACCTTTAACACTTTCAATACCTAGATGATATTTTTTTTCTATTATAGATAGGTATTACTGTATGATAGAGGGGGAACCAAAAAGGGCCATATAATTTAGGTGCAATCGTAGTCTCCCAAAATGTTGAATTGTAACGTATCACTTGTCATAGATCATTGAAAATGCTTTGGACTGACCATTAGTAATTTATTTAATAAAGTAATTTGGTAATGAAATGTAATAAAACAAATTTATTAGATCTAGTGATAGTTTGGAAAGATAATGTGGACAATAATGTACCCGGGCAACCTTTGCATATTCTTGCTCGTTGTTTTGAATACTTTGGTATGAAATACACCAATAAAAGTTCTATTAGACGAAATCAATCTGTTTCAAATTAATTACAAGAGCAATGGAAGTGAATAAAAGACGAGTTTTAGCCCAAAATGGGAATTTATACCATAAGTGCGCAGTCAAGGTACCGTGGTATTTTCTGTATGGTATGTATGTACGAGTATATGCACTGATGTCTGCAAATAAGGCAAGCAGAGGTAAAATAAGAGAAAAGAAAAAACGAGAAGTGTAGATTTTAATTGGTAAAACCTAATTACACAAAAGGTCGATCACGCAACATTATAAATAGGTGATTCATTGGACATATTTATTGAGAACCATTAATGACAAATCAGCTGCTATTAGATGAGTATGGGTTTCGTACTTTGGAGAAAAATGTCATTAAATAAAGCTTAATATGCGAAACTTGAATGATATGTGCACCTGTTAGCACAATTTTGCTAAACATCCAGTAAATAATGCTTTTCCGATTTAAAATCTACTACGACCATATATGGTATAGCTATAGACTACTTATACACTGTGGACAGGGCGGTAAAAAAAACACCTGATATGTAACGTTTCTTACAGCGGAGTTGCTGGCGATTCTGAAAAGCTTTGGAATGGTGAAAAGTCTCTATTGAATATGGTGCGATAACAGATTCACAAATGATTACCCTAGAGTTTAAATTTAGTCCGGTACACCACTTTAAAAATAATGTTATTATAAGGCATTAAATTGTACACAAATTGTTTAACACAAACCAAACTATACGGTTAATTTGCCCGATTTCTTTGAATTGAATTACTAGATCTCGCATGTTCTATTGATACTAACTAAAGTAACCACAATGGGCGACATAAATATCACTCTAATAAACGAAATAAAAGAAAAATGGAGCAAATTCTATCAAAAAAACGCAAAAATGTCCATATTACCTACGTTAAATTTATAATATTCACCCTAAAACCATAAAGCATTTGAGTTATCTACTGTATAGACATTACAGTCTATAATTATCCGCAACACGGTAAATTCCCAACACATTTGCACGATAAATATACGGAAATGTATAGGAAACATAAACCACATATTTTTGCAATGTATCAAGCATCTAAATGTAAGAAGTGACGGATCTGTTATTACAGCACATATAGATCAAATAACTATACAGGGTGGTGACTTGCGTAACGCATCATAGGGATTTCAATGTAAAATTCATAACATGCGATTATTGGCTCCCCAAATTATTTTAGAGCAAAAATGTATTAAAGTTTTTTGTAGAAAACATTTTTTTACGCCAATCAACCGTATTAGTTTTCAATTTTTTTCATATAAAGACGGAAAATTGGAAAAATAAAACCCGCATCTTTTTCAATAATCTGCGATGCCATGGAATTTTCTAAAACAAAAAGATATCCAGTTATCAATTAGCAGCAGTTCGAAATGGATTTTATGATCGACTTGGTTACTGTCTTGCAGTTAATGGTGACTTATTCGAACATTTATTGTAAATTGTTATATTAGGAAACCGTTTTTAGTAATTTGGTCTTTCTTTATGTTGAATTCGCTGTTCTAAATATAATACTTTTTGATAGAATTTGATTTGTTTTATAGCAGACATTCCATGGCATGACGGATATTGGCGTAGTTTTTGTATTATAAAATTCCATGGCATCACAGATGATTGACAAAGATGGGGGTTTTATTTTTCCAATTTTCCGTCTTTATTATGCAAAAAATTGAAAACTAATACGGTTGATTGAGGTAAAAAAAATTGTTTCTACAAAAACCTTAATACATTTTTGCTCTAAAATAATTTGGGGAGCCAATAATCGCATGTTATGAATTTTACATTGAAATCTCTACGATGCGTTTGGAAGTCACCACCCTGTATACAATGTGTCCAAGATGAGAATGTCTATCATGGGCGTCTTAGATACAATAAAATAAAAACTACTTTCGCATTGCAACTATTTAAGCTCTACAAGATAGATTTCAGAGATTTTCAATACGACGTTTCGTTTCGGAGAATTCATCATCAATTATCTCTAAAGGAAGTATAAGTACATACTGTATGGAGTAGCATTTTTCATTATGATTACAACAATGTGTGGTACAAAAAGAAACATAAAAGTTGGAAACTATATTGGTTTCAGCAGGATGGTGCACCCGCGCACAACGCCCTAATCGTGTGAGAATACCTATCTAAAAAATAGAAAATTTCTATTATAGGTATTCTCGCACGCTTAGGGCTTTGGGAACCATCCTAGTGAAGCCAAAAATTTCCAACTTTTCTTTTTTTGTGTGCTGTACATCGCTATACTCGTAATAAGAAATGCTACTCAATAAAATACGTACTTTTTTCCGGTCCATATAAAAATTTGAAGTTGATGATGGTTTCTCCCAAACGAAACGTTGTATTGAAAGTCACTCAACGTTGTTCTTTTCTAGAGCTCAAATAGTGACAATGAGAAAATGTTTGTTTATGTTTGTGTATCTGTTCAAATAAAGGGTAGTAACCACTCCGGCTGAAATGTACATAGATTGCGGAAATCCTAAGATTTCAGCAAGGTTGCAGTGAATTCGAGGGGATTGTCGGTCCTAAAACCCTCATTTTATTCACTATGCCACGGGAACGTATAACCATAATGGAAACCTACATTTTGCAAGAATAACGTGTCTTACGCGCAAATAATCACAAATAATACGCAGAAAATTCGTGTTAAAACGGTACATGCCATTTTTACGCTTGCACAAGTTAATGTTAACATCAACAACCGGAAAATGTCAATTTTTAGCGGTTCCAACCCTTATAAAAAGGGTTCCCACTCACACTTCGAAGTGCTAAACCTTCCAAAATTGTTTCTTAGGGTCTCGGGAAGCTTCATGCAAAATACGAACGTATACCATCAGAAGGCAAAAAGATTTCGGTGAGATTGCGGTAAGACTTCGGCGGGATTTGGGGATTTCGGCGAGATTTCTGGGAATTTGGAGTGATTTCCTTGAATTCGGCAGGATTGCGGAGAATTCGGCGAGATTTCGGAAGTGATTACCTCTCTGATAAAAACAAAATCGGTAAATTTCGATTTTTCTGGTATATCTTCGTGGAAGTAATCGGAATTTTCCAGTTTTCTTGAGAGCATGATCATAACTCTTTAATTGCGCATCTTTTCCCTAATTTGACCATCTCATATATCCTCTATGGTTTCCCAGATCCTCCCCCGATTAAAAAATCCCCACATATACAAATATAAAGTTTAACAAACACAAAATACCACAGGTAACGTTTTAGCGAAAGTTGATTATATTTCCGTTAAAATCTCAAGCTTCCTTTAAAAAATTAAAGACAGACGTTTTAAAAGTATTTCTGAAAAATGTGGCAAAGCAAATTAGTACATTTGTTGAAGATCTTGAAAACTGAAACTAAGTACAGGCAACCTTTTGCTTATGAAACAAATTTTTTAAGTAAACTCGAAAATTATTCATAAAAAATTAATTCATTGTCCAACGGCTAGCTTCTAACAAAATTTTTCCCAGTGACGTACTTACTGAAAATTCTTCCTTTTTCTTGTTTCTCTGAAGTGTGATTTCAAAATTCTTCTTTTGTAATTGCTTGCTCGTAAACAATCAAACACAAAATTATAGTTTCGAAATATATTCAATAAAAGATGCGACTCGAAATTACATTTATCTTTCTTTTCTATTTATGATTTTTTGTATTTTGTATTTTGCAAAATTAAACAGAGGTCTTTTTATACACAGTTCCTCTAAAATAATTAGAAAGAACCCATTACTTTTTCTCTAAAAGTTTTCTTTAATGGAAAACAGAGCAAAATTAATTGTAGGTAAATAAAATCCAGTTCAAGTGAGCTTTTTAATGGTAAAACAAACATGCATAAATAGCAAAAATTCTCTTACTAAATTCTTACTTTTGACAATTCTGAATTTAATTTGGACGTAAAAAATAGCATTGTCATTATTTGTAAACGTCATGTTATATCGTATTCCCCGTCCCATTTGAAATTAAGAATGACAGATGTTATTAGAATACATAATTATCGGTTTCACTTTATCTACTCTTGCGGTTAAAGAGCGACTTGGCATACTCATTCAAACCTATTAAAATGTCATCTGCTGTAAATTAAAAGTTCTTTAGATGTAGGTGTTTAACGTTAAAATCCTAGTTCACAAGAGTCTTTAATCATTCCGAACGTAATTAATGACACTCACTCGCTTGCTGGTATTGTTTATTTAGTAAAATTCGCATTAAATTGCCCAAACTATTTGAATCACTGTAACTTCTCCAGGCTGGAGCACAAGATATTTTTCAGAAAGCTTTTCCCGTATTAATTTTTCCCAAAGGGTAAATATTGCATTTTTCCTTTATAGGTACCTAGGTAATTAGTGTCTGATAACTTGCGTGATACCAAAACTATATAGCATGTCAAAATCCAAGAGGTTAACATATGCGCAAACCCAATTTTTGGTATGCTGATTTATATTTACCTACAATGATTTATTTTAGGCATAGGAAGATTAATCTATACGAAGAATACTATTACCAACCAGGTCTGAATACGATTACTACTTTCACTACCGACTTTGGTGTAACATTTGGAACGTTTATTTGTTTCGATATATTTTTTCAAAGTCCAGCAGACGACCTATTGAAAAAAGCTAACGTAACAGACATTGCATTTTCAACTTCTTGGTATCAAGAACTTCCATTTTTTATAGGTAAAGCACATATTTAGTTGTCATGCGAGTTTAACAGCATGTTTCAGGAAATAGCGTGCAACACGCCTATGCCGTTTTGAACGGTGTAAACTTTCTAGCATCAGGTATGAGCGACCTGGATTTAGGAATGGGAGGTAGTGGTATTTATTCGGCAAATGGAGATGTACTCGCTGCATTCATATCTGGAAAAAATGATTCCAAGCTGTTAATTGCCGATGTGCCTAAAGTAAAAACCAGGAGAGACTCCTCAAATCGCTGTCATGTATGTAACACTGAGGCGTTAAAAACGTGTTTACACCGGTATTCTTCTAGAAAGGTGGAGGAAATCCGAAGTCTTCGTTCGCTCCTCACATTAATCTCCGCGAAACTTTACCTGCAAGATTAAAAAACCACACGTTGCAATCAATAGACTTAAATGAACCGTACATTTACAGAACTGTGTGCGGGAGCACTAAATTCTGCTGTACATTTAATGCAGGTATCAGACGAACGTCAGATGAGGTCCCAACTTATTCGTATAAGTAAGTAGACAACTAAACAACCTAAAATCCTAACCATCGTAATTGATTTCTTAGATTACTGGCCTATGATGGAGTTACACAATTGGACGAGAAATCCCTTGGATTTAGACAGTGCGCTATTATCGCTTGCGCCAATAGCAGCGTTGAATCATGTGGACATCGAAATGAAAAACCACCTACTGGAATTTACTTTGAAGACTTGTCAATTACGGGCTCTTTTGAAAATATTGAATCACGGTACATGCCGCTAACCGTAACTTATGATCTTCTACCAGCAAATCATTACGTATTTTGCAAGAAAAATGACAGCAGTAAAGTAGATGTGAGCATGTACACAACGAGAGCGATGGACGATCTTATGACTTTTGGAATACTTGGCAGAGCGTTTCAGAACGACAATAAGCCACCCGGGAGAATGACTTATGCAAATAGTTCAAATAAGACCAAAGCCAATACACTTCGAGTAGTTTTACTATTAGCCATGTTTTACGTAAATCCATTTTCATTTTAAACTAATTGCATCTTTTGTGAATAGCAGATTGTTCATTCACAGCGAAAAACCGTCGGGATTTAGTTTAATTGAAAATAATTTTAAATAGTTAATTCATGCACCCTATAAAGGGTGCTTCGAGTGGAGTGCTGCCCTGGGATTGGATAGTAAAATTATGACAAAATGGGAAAGCATGCCCAAATCTTAGACAAAGCCGTCAGTCATCTTATATATTATATGTATATTGTCGGGAGAAAATTAGAGAAACTCATATCTCCCAAAACGAAAAATCGTATGTTATGAATTGTAACTGAACAGATCTTTGAATAAAATCGAATTCATTTAAATATGTAAATGTGATTGAGTGCCGTTTACAGTGTCTCCCAACTAAAATTTGTACCTTCAAACATGATTATACACGCATGGTCATAAGAAGTTAAACTTAACGGTTTTACCGGTGAACAGAATTCCTCAAAGGTGTAAAAGGCCTTTCTTTATACAATCTTTAAACACTTTCGCGGGAAGGCATCTAACATTTACAGGTAAAGAATTTCTGGGATGTTGTCAGGGTGTTGTGCGTGTGCTGTTGGACGTTCCATTTGAGACTGTTAACGCTATTTCTTGCGTAGCACAAGGGTGATCTGCCATCCACAATGTTTTATGGTACTTCCAAATCAGAGTGTGGAAATGATGTCGTCAACTTGTTTGCAGACTCCTTTAGTTCCGTATATACACGCGCCACAGCCACAAACAATGTTCTAAACTCTGTTAGTACGTCCTGAATAAGTATAAGTAGTCTAAACATTACTAACAAAATTATCCTGTCAAAGATAAATCCATTAAACGTTAGCATATCCTCAGGTCCTGATGGTATTCCCTCTTACCTGTTGAAACAATGTCAATTTCCTCTTCTCGGTCCTCTTCAAATATTGTTACTAGATCTCTTAGTGAAGGAGTTTTCCCTGACATTTGGAAATTTAGTTATATTATTCCTATCTACAAAACCAAGAATAAAGCGGATATGTCCAATTAATAGGGCTATATCGATTATGTCAGTAATACCAAAATTGTTCGAAGGTATTATAACAAATACTTTATTTCCATTACTTAAAAGCACTATAATTGACGAACAACATGGCTTTTCCCTAGTAGTTCCACAAACACCAACCTTTTAACTTATCAGCATTACATTCTTAGTTGTTTTGATGAAAATACACAATTAGATTCCATATATTTTGACTTCTCTAAGGCATTTGATAGAGTAAACCATGATATCTTGTTATCTAAACTTTCTCTCGTTGGTTTATGTGATCCAATATTGTCATCGCTTCGTTCTTATCTAACAAACGGAATTCAAATGGTGAAATATCAAAACTTAATATCTAAACCAATATATGTCTCATCTGGTGTTCCTCAAGGTGCACAGTTAGCTCCACTGTTATTCTTAATATTTATAAACGATATCAAATCGTCCAAAATATTATTGTTCGCGGATGATATAAAAATATTCAGTCCAATAAAATCAATCAATGACTGTATCAATCTGCAATTGGATATCAACGCACTCAGCCTATGGTGTGAAACAAATCGGATAGAACTTAATCTCACTAAAAGCTTTAGTATAACTTTCCATCGTACTGTAAATCCTAGTCAATTTACATACACCATAAATAATTGTGCACTTGAAAGAAAATCTAGCGTTACTGATCTTAGAGTTATTTTCTCTTCTGATCTTTCGTATCAGAATCACATTGATTTTATTTGTAATAAAGCACCGAGACAACTTGGATTTATGCTGCGCTTATCAAAAAACTTTCGCAGTCACTTTATCCTTAAATTAATGTACCTGACTCTTGTTCGTTCCTCTATCGAATACTGTTCCCAAGTTTGATCTCCCTATTATTCCACTCCTATTTCAAAACTCGAAAAGCTGCAGTACAAATTTCTTCGTTTCTTCAGGTTTAGGTTACGTCTGAATTCATTTATTCATTCTTCATTCATTCTTACCTCTCCGTTCTTAAGGTATTAAGCATTAATACTTTGCTTGCTTGTCGTCAGTTTCTGGATTTTGTCTTTTTTTATAAACGGTTGTATTGACTCGACATATTTGATGGAATTAATAACATTTAATGTTCCTGGAAGAACTCTTAGATTTAGTCAATCTTTTAGTATAAAACTGTATAAAACCACAGATTTAAATATACTATATTCAATCAAACGTTATATTTACAACACTTCCCGATTATAAGAATGATGCGTTTCGCAAACTCCTATCCGCAAATTGAAATAATCGGAGTTAGTCTATCTGAACTTAAAGATAATCGTAAGTTGTTAGTAAATAATGGCGACAAATCATAATATACCAATGTTAGTTTAGTTAGTTAGATTATTGCTCACTGTATTTATTTTTAATTTCCTTTTTCCAGTAATTTAAGCATAATTACCTTTTTTGTATGTGAATTGTACACAAAACTTTAATTTCTTGGGGCCTTTGCCGTAAGATTTAATAAATAAATAAATAAATTGTTGAAATAGGAGACCCATTTCCAATCGCAAGGATTTACTTTACGTAATTTCCAATTGAGTTTGATACGTTTAGTTAATGAATATTTCCCTGCAAATGGTTTTCAATTTATTACTGGTAAGGTGTATTTGTAAGTTTGATGGATTTAGAGATAAGGGTAGTAGTAAATAGCATGATCACGATTTAGAATTTACCTATCTATTTGCTGAAATTCAACGTAAACTGAATAAAACGAATGTAAAGTGAAATGGAGGTTGGATCTACATTTATGTTTCATCAATATATTCATTTCTATTACAATAATTACGTCTGCCACCAAGATACTTAGGCATCTAGGTAAAAATAACTATTTCAGCTACAAGGGAGAGGTAAAAAAATTCGCATTTAAATGGTAGAGAAATTTATATGTAGAGCTAGCCGTGAATCTTTTAATTATTAAGCAGAAAAAGTTCAAATTAAATTAATTGGTTCGTTAATTTAATTCAAGAAGGGATGGGCAACCCCTTTATGTGCAAAAACCTATTACATTTTACGCCCAACCGTGGGATTTAAAAGAAACATGTAGTGCAAAGGAATATTTGTGGTTTCCGTCCCCAAAGAACGGTATAACCAAAGAGTGTTACTCTTTGGTATGGTTGTAGGACAATTCGCACCCGAATAATTCGCTCTCGGACATTTCGCACCAAGGAAAATTCGCACCAAAGATATTTCGCACCCGGACGTTTCGCTCCCGGACAATTCGCACCCGGATAATTCGCACCGGAATAATTCGCACCAGAATTTCGCTCCCCTGAGAGGGTATTTTGTGTATGGTTGACTTTTAACACAGAAAGTCGGCTGTGAAGTATTAAATTAACTCAGAGCTTGAAATCTCCAATATTACTCACCAATATCGCGTTTTATTACTTTGTGAATGTAATAGACGTATACCTACATTTAAAATTTGGGTACTTTCAATATTAAGGTATAATTTGGAATCGTGACGTCCATTTTGTGTTCAAAGTCTAAATGGGATAATTTATTAATATTGAATAAAAGTTCTCTAAACCGTTCCCATATAATTTAATAGAACGAAGTGATACACTACAAGTTTCGACCAACGGTCATCTTCAGGTGATCTACAAGATGGTAGAGATCATTGAGGAAAGACTATAGCTATAAAATTTACAATATAGATGGAAAACAATTAAAAACCCAAAAGGGCAGTAAAACTGGAAAGCCCAACGACCATATCCGTGGTTGGTTCCAGAGTAAAATTGAAATTTGAAGAGGTTGATAAACTAAATTTTTGCAAGGGAGGGCCGAACCTAAAAACTAACATTAGACGACGGTATAAGCAACGATGAAACTTACGTATAAAAAAGTCAAAAGGTCAAAAGGCGATATCCTAACTAATAAAATACCCAATTAAGGGCTTTGAAACTGGAAACCATCTGCACTTCCAAAATCAGTGCTCGGTTTAGCTAATCTTACCTTGTCATCGTTGGCCTAGATCCTGGCATTGCATGTTAAACTAAGAGCCGATGGATCCTTCTTTGCTCTTCTCGCTCGACACAGCCATGATGAGCAGTTTTGGAGTTTAAGGTTCTTAGCAAAGAGGTACATGTATCCTTCATAGATTATGTATCTCTTTCCCCTTTTCGTTGTACCGAACTCCTTTGTTACGCGCCCCGTATAGTTTGCACCCCCTAAATCTCATATCCATTATCAACTTTTTGTAATAAATCAAATTTCAACTTTTAGCCTCAGGGACAAGTCCATTTTTGATGATATTTTCCTTGATTTTGGCATTTTAATGTGGCACTTAAATATTTATGTTGGTTAAACAATAGCCATACAATTTGTAGAGGAATAATTTTTTTAATAGTATTTATGAGGCAAGAATTCATACGTACAATCCTATGTACCTTTTTAAATGGAATGAACCATATCAAAGCAGTAGAGATTTTTCGTACTTCCGAGACTAAAGTGACAACTTCACTCCATTATGACAAGTACTGAAGTGTCACTTTTTGTCCCGCCGGGATTAAATTTTACGAAAATCCCGGAAGGATGAAATTACTAACAAAGCAATTTCAGTAGGTTCTTCCACATTTTGTATGCGGCACTACTTCTTAAACGCATCGTACTGCTGTTCATATAGCTTTTGGATTTCGGTGGTATCAATTCTTTACCTACTTTGGTTGCTTTTTATCAATATCAAATACACGTTTGTCACCCACCACCAAAATTATGACACTAGCAATGACAGTTCCTATGGTAACTTGTTGAGCAGCGATTTTTTGAAAGAACGCGTTCTCTAACTCCATACAAATTAAGTGTTTCAGTTTCGGAAGTACGAAAAATATCGTATATACCTTGCGACTGAAGTAGTGGTCTTAATCCCTCAGGTAAATTATGGCCCGACCGAAGGGATTAAAAGTACTACTTCGGGATTAAAAGTACTACTTCAGTCCCGCGGTATATAATATACTATTGATTTTCGTTAGACGCCAACCTAAACCCACGTCAAAAATGGCTGAACAAACCTAAACAAACGATAAACAAACGATTGCAATCAATAAAAGTGCAAAATCCCACCATGGGTG